CCCATTAAAGAAAAGAAATGGAATCCATGAAACAGATTCAAAAAGATATCCAGGAGATTAAAAATTCCACTGAAAGATGGGCCAAAGATTTAAATCAGTGGTGCCACTGCCTGCCTCACAAACTCAAGGTCCCAAGTTTAAAAACCAATATAAAAAAAAAAGTTCCATTGAAAGTATATGCAGCAGCTGGGGATTTAATTCAGGGACACTGTATCCACCGTATATATGCAAATTATAAAACATGTCATATTAACAGAGGCCAGGATAAAAATTATATGATCATTTCAATAGATGCAGAAAAGGCATTTGACAAATTCCAACACCCATTTATGAGAAAACCCTACAGAAAATTGGAATAGATTTTTTTTCCTTTGGTACCAGGGATTGAACTCAGGACTTTGCACTTGCAAGGCACATGGCTGAACCACTGAGCTAAATCCCTGGACCTGGAATAGATAATCTTTATCGCAATCTGATAAAAGCCATCTATGACATTCTCTTCTTTTAGCGGGGGTTCCAGGAATTGAACTCGGGTCCTTGTGCTTATGAGGAAGGAAGTGGAACCACTGAGCTAAATCCCCGGGCCCAAAGCCATCTATGACAAACCAACAGCCAACATCATACAAAATGGACAAAAATGGAAAGCTTTCACTGTAAAATCAGGAACAAGACAAGGATGTCCACTATCACCATTCCTATTCAATATAGTTCTGGAAACATTGGCCAGAGCAGTTAGATGAGAGAAAGAGATAAAAGGAATAACATTAGGGAAGGAAGAAGTTAAATCATCTTCATTTACAGACACGTAATACTCTATCCAGAAGCCCTGAAAAACTGCACCAAAAGACTTCTAGATTTAATAACCAATTTCAGTAGCGTATCTGGGTACACAGTCAACACTCAAAAAACAATAGCATTTCTGTACACAAATAACAAACTCACTGAGAAATTAGGGGACATCACACCTTTCACAAGCATGAATACTTAGGAATCAATCTAACAAAGGAAGTAAAAAAGTATTTTGAAAACTACACTTCTGAAAAAGGAGTTCAAAGAGGATATCAGCAAATGGAAAGATATCCTTTGTTCTTGGATAGAAAGAACCCATCTAGTGAAAATGGCATATTTCCAAAATTATTATATAGATTGAATGCAATTCCAACAAAGGGATGGCAGGGGGCATCACAATCCCTGACTTTAAATTATACTACAGACCTACTGTAATGAAAACAACATGATACTGGCAAAAAACAGCAGACCCAGGGATCAATGCAAAAGACTAGAAGATGCAGAAATAACTCTAAACACACTCAGCCACCTCATTTTTGACAAAGGAGCCAAACACCTTCACAGGAACAAAGCCAGCCTCTTTAATAAATGGTGCTGGAAAAAGTGGCTTTCCACATGCCAAGACTAAAACGACCTGTATCTCTCACCCCTCACTAAACTAAAATCGAAATGGATCAAAAATCTAAATATTAAAACAGAAACAGTAAACCTGCTGGAAGATAGAATAGATAGAATCTGGAAGACATTCATATAAGCAAAGACTTCATGAACGAAACCCCAGTTCCGTAGGAAATTCGCCATGTAGTAGAAGGCAGCAACGGTGCTCTGCTCTGCGTCTCATCTGCCCGGTTATGAATCCCACTGCACCCTGGGAAACTGGCTGGTCAGGAAGTCGCCTCTCTGTATCCCTCTTTCCTTGACTGACATTTGTGTGTTGGTGGGCGGTACTGGGACCGAACCCAGGGCTTTCACACTGAGCTGCATCCCCATCCCTTTTCATTTTTATCTTTTTTTTTTTTGAGATAGGGTCTCAGTATGTGTAGCAGACACCTCTACCCAATGTTAGCAGGCTATCATGGCATAAGTTTCTTGCCCCTCTATCATTTGTCTGTGTATTATTTCAGGAGTCTGACCAAATCTTATGTGACTCAAATTGTCACGTCAGATATCAGAGTTGGGCTGGTATTGCTCTTTTTGCTGCTACTGGGACGTAACTCCTAGTCTGTGAGGTTGCAGGTGGATTTCATTTCCAGCCAAGGTCAACTGACTCCAGCTAAATTCTTCCTCTCTGAATTAACCATTTGTTCTTTTCAACAAAGATATGCTTGTGTCCTCACTCTACAGTCCTGCTTGTTTGATACTTGTTATCAGCAGGTGTCTGAGGCCTGCCGTTTTTCCCCTTCCCATGCCTGTAACGAATAAACACTGGATATCCTGGGAGTCCTTGGTCTTTGCTGCCCAGAGCAGCTTGGGTGAGCCCAACACTCAGTTTCTCCAAGTCTCTGTATGTGTTTCTTTTAATCCCCACTTTTTTATCTCACGGACATTGGGCATTGTAGTGGCTTGCAGGAGGCCAGGACCACTGTGCAGGTCTCTGGCAACTCCCACTACCCTTTTCCTATAGATACGTACTGGCCTCATACTCATGATCTTCCTGTCTCAGCCACCTGAGTGCTTGTATTTGCAAGGCAGGCACGGTTCCACTAAGCTAATTCCCGGCCCCCGCTGGCATTTTAAAAACTCCAAATTTGTATATTTGGTCTTGTCTGGGGGTCCTGGCATGGAGTTCCTTGGACGTCACATGAGAGGCTGTTTTGAGGAAACTGCAAGCCTGGCCTGGGAGGGATAGGGGAGGGTGCTGCTCATCAAAGACCACCAGGGCCCACCAGAAATTCAGGCCAACAAAACCCCTATAGCTTGGAACTACTTAACAAACACCCAATACGCTTCAGCTTCTTGCTGTTTTCATGCCTTTTCAAAATAACCAACATTCAAGACCCTACACCCCAGTCCTTCAATTGTAAATGGTTAAACAGCACGTGACTTATCCATACTGTGAGAGATGAATTTACTTGCCCAAACCCCCCAAAATTGGACTCCAGAGGCAGCAAAAGTGAGGTTTCAGTCCACACTCTTGCAAGAGTGGTGCCCAAATACAGATAGTCACACCAGAGTTAAGAAGCTGTGTGCTCTTATTTCTAACTCACAAGGGTCCCTCCCCCATCTGCCATGGCGCAGGATCAGGGTACACAGTCCGTCCTGAGCAAATTATCTCAGCCCACAGTCCAGGCTCTCATATATGATGAGGAAAGGGTTGTATGCACAGCAGCAAGTGGGCAAGCAGCTACATTTACTGAAGATCATGGGAAGTTGTGCTGAGGGCAAGTACATGCTGACAAAAGATAAGTCAGAGATGGAAAAAGGCACTGGGGTGACAGAAAAGTAAAAGCAGCAGCACAGATACATCACACTTTCACAATTTAAGGATATTTAAAGGATATGCACGCACCTCAGCCCAAGTGCCTGCCCCTGAATCCCTAGGTGTGACTGACAGAAATGATCAACAGGTTACTTAGTCATCTTAGGGTCTCTCCACATGCACTCTTGTCCTAGGACTCACTCTGGTTTTCTTTACTGTATGACGTAGTACATATTTATGAACCCTTAATGAGGTGGGAGGAGGGTGAAGTTGACTAAACGTCAGGCTAGGAGATCCAACGTGTGTGTTCTTGCCTAGAGCGTCAGAGATCTCTTAGGGTTTTGTTATGTTTTTTTGGGGAGGTTGCTATCTTATTTTCTACCCCTCTTAGGCCAAGGGAAGCAGGAATGACTGCAAAGTACTGTTTAGAATTAAATGGATGGGGGCCAGGAATTTAGCAGTGGTTCTGCTGCCTGCCTCAAAAGTGCAAGTCCCACGTTGGATCCCAGGACCCCCCCAAATTAAATAGATGGGCGTGACTCCCTGAGCTCCATTGTTTTTAACTGTACTAACCCCAGGGAGGGGGTCCTACAATGTTTCTTCAGGAGGGTCTATCTTCAGGCAGATAAGAAGTTCCCTAGAGCCTCCCCTCAGCCCCCTCTTCTGCAAGTACCCTTGGTTCAAAGTTAGCAGCACACCAAAACTACACATTTTAGGGGACTCGCATTTCCTGAGACCATTCATAGATAATGGGGTTTCAAAGAGAGCTTTTTTTTTTTTCCATTTTCAAATGGGCTTCATCTTAAGTAATCAACACAGCCAAGTGTCTTAGTTACTTTCTCATTGACATACAATACCTGACACCACAGTTTAAATGAGGAAAGGTTTATCTTAGCTTGTAGTTTGTAGAGGTTTCAGTCCACAGCCAGCTGGCTCCAGGGCAGGGTGGCTTGGCAGAGGGACCTAGCAGTGGTAAAACAGCTCCTGGCATGGCAGGCAGGGAGCAGTATGAGATCAAGGGAGGAGGAAGGAAGATACATCCTTCAAGCCATGCCTCCAGTGACTCACCTCAACCAAGCTTCTCTTCCCAACATCCCATTCAGCTACAAACTCCTCAGTGGGTTAGCCCATTGACTATCCAATCATCTCCTCAAAGCCTCACTTATGAGCGCATGTGGCTCTAGGGCACATCCAAATATAAACCACAACGTCAAGTCACACCTTTTTTGGTACTGGGGATCGAACTCGGGACCTTGCTTGCTTGCAAGGCAGGTGGCAGAACCACTGAGCTAAACCCCCAGGTGAAGTCACACTTTTTGTGATGGTATTTCTCAAACTCTTCACCTGGTGTGTAACTGAACAAGAGAAATAGTACTTATTCACATGAGATGAAGACAGGTGTCGGGGCATATGTCTATGATCTCAGCACCCTGAGAGGCGAAGGCAGGAATTTCGAGCCCAGTCCTGGCAATTTACCAGGACTGTTTAAAAAGAAAAAAAAGTAAGGACTGGGTAAGGTCCTGGCTTCAATCCTCAGTGCTAAAATCAAGCAAATAAAAACAAGTAAGCTCTTTTTTGATACTTGACCTGTTCATTAAAAGAAGTTTTTACACAGCTAAAGAGGTTCAATCAGCTAGGCACGATGCTCAGGACTGCGGATCCACCGACTCAAGCCCGAGGGAGGGCTGACTGGGAGGTGTAGTCCAGCGCCACTGCGGGGCTGCGCCAAGGGGTCTGCTGGGACTTGCAGTCTAGCGCAGCTGAGGCGGTGGCAGGCAGAAGCGATTTCCGGATAGGCCGAGGGTGGAAAACAATGGCTGTCTACGTGCCTTCGGCAGAGAGCTAATGACACTTCCTTCTTCGTCCTAGCAGCAGTCTCAGACCCCGTTTCTGCGGAAGTCTCGCTTCGCTCCTGGGATCGGGCGATAGCCAACCCTCCCGCGCCCCACCTCGGTTAGCCCTGGCTGGATTTCTCAGGGGAGGGCTCACGTCGACCCGCGCTCGGGGGCGGAGCTTCTTGGGGGCCAAGGGTACCTGAGCGGCGGGGGACGGGGTCGCGCGGAGGGACGCTCCAGGGGGCGATCTCACGTGACCGCGCTGGGGGGCGGGTCTT